TGAATAGTAAGATTAACGTCCAGGTAGTGGTTAAAATTATCCATAAAAATTAAGTAGCACTGAAAAAAAAAGTTTAGCATAACAATGCAGGGGTTCGACCTTATATTATATTTTAAATATTTTAAAATTAGTTTACGTTTTAATTTAACATACTATTAGTCATAAACTAATCTGAACTTTCTCGCGAGTAAATTATCTTCTTTATTTTGGCTAAGATTCAGATTAATACAACAAGAAGAAAATAATGACAATATTAATTTAACATACTTTTAGTCATAAACTAGTTTAATAAATTTCCTTACGAGTAAATCATTTATGAATGTAGTTAGTTACATCATCTTTATTTTGGTTGAGATTTAATTAATATTAACCAAATTTAATACAATAAGAAGGAAAATAATGATAACATTAGTTTGTCATGGATTGGATTAATTTAATAAAACTTTTTACGAGTAAATTATTTATATTTTTTAATATGTAGTTAGTTAACATCTAATTTGATTAATATTTTAATACTAAGTAAATTATTACAAAAAATAAAAAAATTGATAATATAGGATAGGTAATGTAACAAGAAAAATATTAGTTTGTTATGACTAATTTAATAAAGTTTTTTACGAGTAAATTATTTAAATTTTTAATAGATGTAATCAATTACATCTTCTTTATTATTATTAATATTTAATAATAGATTTATTATTACAAAAAATAAACCTATTGTAATAACATATGCTAGGTTGAGGTAGCATATGTTATTCGTACTATTATCGAGTCGATGTGACTCGATAAAGTTTATCAGGTCCGAGTACACATTCACTTCATCCGTTAGGATGAGGTTGTACTCGGATGTATTGGCTCGCTCACTTGCGTTTTTGGTAAAAACGTCCAAGTTGAATCGAGCCAAATACTGCCTGTATTCATGGCGTGCTATCTTGATAACGATAGTCTTGCGTCTATCGTATCTTGATAGCGATAGTCTTGCGTCTATCGTATCTTGATAGCGATAGTCTTGCGTC